TCTTTTGAAAACTACCCCAAGATGAATCCAATCCAAGTATAATAAACTGTTTACCATGAAAATGCAGCTACAGCTAAACAGCCCCCCCCCCCCATATCCAGCAAAGAAATACCTGCCCCTTTGTCGGGGCAGATGCAACCTTGCAACAAAGCACCAGAGGCCACATAGTTCAAAGCACATGGGGTTCACTGGCAGGCCTCATTAGGGCCAAGTAGCAGACACCCCTTCTCAGCCCAGCTAGCACCCCCACCTCCCAACACCCCTTCCTGTATGGAGATCATGGGCAATCCCTAGGATTGTCAGCTCCCCTGCGGCTCTAGACTCCAGTCTGCAAGATCCAACTCCCTCTTTTCCCCCCTCTCCCAAGACCCCACCCCTGCTGGAAGCTCAGAGTCTGCTGTCTTCAGAGGCCACTGTGCACCTCACTCTCAGGCCCCAAAGCTGACGTTCCGACAGGAAAGCCAATGGCACAGACTCCACTGCCGTGCAAGCTGGAACAACCCCCGAGCTCTGTAAGTTCCCATCACTGTCTGCTGGACCAGATCTGCGTTTCAGTACTGGAGGAGGCCTTTTCCCCAAATATATCAGGAAGACAAACTCCCAGATATGAATGCAGTGCGTGGCCCTGATCTCACCCCAACCTGCCCCCCAACCCCTGCTGTAACTCTTGGAGTCCAGGAAGCCGTTAAAAAAACTGCTTGCTTAAGTAGACAGTTCAGAAGAAAGGATCGCTGCCTGAGTGGCCTTGGTATCTCTCTCTCCTTCCCCTCCTCCCTCCTCCCTTCTCCCTCCAGAGGCACTGGGCCACCAGGAAGGAGTGAGGCAAGGTCACTGACCTAATGTTGAACCTTCAAACCTGCACCAGGAGGCCCTTCACCTGTGAACTTGGAGGCTGCACAAATTTCATTGAATAGGATGTCGGAGGAACAAGGAGAGCGTGACCTGGCCAGAGTTCTGTCTGTCCGGATGCCCCGCCCAGGACATCCTGGGGAGGTGGGATCCCTACAGTCATGCTCACCTATTCCCAGAGTCCAGAAAACTGACACCATCTCTCCCTGCCCTCCACACATAAACAGGCAGGGAGGCCAGCTCTGTAGCCACACCCCCTACAGGCCAGGGGGCTGCCAAGGATGGTTAATGTACCCTGGCTCCAGGCTCACACCAGCCACACCAGCCACACCAGCCCAGGGGTCTCCATGCACTGCAAGCTATTTAGGGTCAGGGCCCTGGATGTGGGCCCTGCATCTCCTTTTCTCAAGGCCTGGGTCCTCTTCAGCATGGAGAGACTATGGGGAATTTCCTTTCCCAAAGTCTTTTTCTGATTTTTTTGTTTTGTTTTTGTTTTTAATTTTTTTAAATTTTATTAATTATGCCATTACAGTTGTTCTATTCCCCCCTTCATTCCCCTCCACCCTGCACACCCCTCCCCCACCATTCCCCCCCCTAGTTTATTACCACCTGTCTCAAGTTCTTTAGATTCTATATTTCTCATACTATTCTTGCCCTCCCCCCTACCTATTTTCTACCTACCGTCTATGCTACTTATTTTCTGTACCTTCTCCCCCCTTCTCCTTCTCCCACTCCCCTATTGCTAACCCTCCATGTGATCTCCATTTCTATGGTTCTGCTCCTGATCTAGCTGTCCTCTTAGTTTGCTTTTGTTTTAGGTGTGGTTCTTAAAAACTGTGAGTTTGTTGTCCTTTCACTGTTCATATTTTTATCTTCTGTTTCTTAGACAAGTCCCTTTAACATTTCATATAATAAGGGCTTGGTGATGATGAACTCCTTGAATTTGATCTTATCTGAGAAGCACTTTATCTGCCCTTCCATTCTAAATGAAAGTTTTGCTGGATAGAGCAATCTTGGTTGTAGGTCTTTGGATTTCATGACTTGGAATACCTCTTTCCAGCCCCTTCTTGCCTGTAAGGTCTCTTTTGAGAAATCAGTTGACAGTCTGATTTGTAGGTGACTGTCCCCACCTCCTTTGTAGGTGACTGTCCCCTTATCTCTTGCTGCTTCTAGGATTCTCTCCATTTTAATCTAGGGTAATGTAATTATGATGTGCCTTGGTATGTTCCTTCTTAGGTCCACCTTCTTTGGGACTCTCTGAGCTTCCTGGATTTCCTGGAAGTCTATTTCCTTTGCCAGATCGGGGAAATTTTCCTTTATTATTTGTTCAAATAAGTTTTCCACTCATGGCTGTTCCTCTTTCCCTCTGGTACCCCTATAGTTTGGATGTTGGAGCATTTAAAGATGTCCTGGAGGTTCCTAAGCCTCTCCTCATTTTTTGAATTCTTGTTTCTTCATATTTTTCTGTTTGGTTATTTTTTTCTTCCTTCTGGTCCACTCCCTTGATTTGAGTCCCAGTTTCCTTTCCATCACTATTGGTTTCCTGTGCATTTCCCTTCATTTCAATTACTTTAGCCTTCATTTGTTCCTCTAATTTGTGACTAAAATCAGCCAGTTCTGTGAGCATCCTGATCACTAGTGTTTTGAACCGTGTATCTGATAGGTTGGCAATTTCTTGGTCACTTAGAGTTATGGGCTCTGGGGATTTGAGTTCTTGAGCCATGTTTGGTCTGTTTCACTCCTTACATATGAGGAGCGGAGCCTTAGATGTTCACCAGGGCGGGGCATCCAGGTCCCTGGGTTGTGACGCTATATATGGGGGCGGGGTCAGGGAGGGGCAATAGCCGTCCCCTCTGCTGCTTCATGCTGCTGGGGCCTTCTCAGTCTGTCTCCCTGCTCACTCCTTCGCTGGTTTATCTGCGCATGAATGTGTGATTGCGGTCATCCTGCTGCCTTGTGCCCTCACTGGGTCCGCCCGTTGCAACCCCCTGCCTGGGATCTGCCAACTGCTGCCCGTGCGCCTGGGTCAGTCTGACCGAGTTTTCCTGTGCAACCCCACACCGCCAGTCGCTGGCTCTGCCCCTTTTACTGATCTGGCTGAAGGGTTCATTGTTGTCGGACTTCCGTGTAGTTCAATTTTCCGTGTTTTGGCTGTGTTTTTTATTACTAAAACTTTGTTGTCTTTAAACTTGGTTGTGGGAGAAGGCACAATGTTTCCACCTACGCCTCCATCTTGGCAGAAGTCCTTTTTCTGATTTCTGAGGTGATTTCTTTAATAAGCACCTGTAATTCTTAAACTCAAACCCAGTAACTTAGTGTTGGACAGGCAGTATCTGAGGCTCCAGCTTCTACCTTCTCCACAATGTGCCTGCCTGCCTCCCTCCCACCAGCCCAGATTGCCTCAAAAGCACAAGCTTCCACTATTTAGCACTTCAGCTATTCTTGGTGGTCCCTGCTGCCGTCTGGCCTCTGTACCTCTTTAGAGGTACAGCAGCAGCCTTCCCACATCCAAAGAGCTGGGGAATCTTGTCCTGGGTCCCTCTGCAAGTTGGCCCTGAGGGACCTTTATCCCCCACACTCTCAGCTGCTGCCTGTCCTCCGAGAAGTCAGAGATCTGAGCCAGTCACCAAGGGTAGCAGCTGCCTATTTCAAGCACCCAGCTCAGCTGCCACCTATAAGGCCCCGTAGCAGCTCAGGTCTCTCATAGTGGTTAGCACTGGGAGGGAAGGGGCAGAGAACAAAGGGAAGGGCAGAGAAGGGCTGTGTTCTACCCCCTGCAAGACAGGTAGAGTCGGACCTCTGTCCCTGACTCCTTCCATGACCTCAGGTGGCTCACTCTCTGAGCCTCAGCTTCCCATTTTGGAAGTAAAAATGATATGTTTCACATACTCTGATTATCTGGGTGACGTAGAAGGGCTTTGTCCCTTGCCCAGTGCCGCAGGGTGTGAAGTGACACTGGTTCCTGCTGTTTTTGTTTGTTTGTTATTTTTAAAAGATGTTATTTATTTTTAGAGAGGGACAGGGAGGGAGGAAAAGAAGGAAACATCAATGTGTGGTTGCCTCTCAAGCGCCCTCTACTGGAGACCTGGCCAGCAAAGCAGGCCTGTGCCCTGACAGGGAATTGAACTGGTGACCCTTTAGTTGCCAGGCTGGCACTCAGTCCACCAAGCCACACCAGCCAGGGCTGGGTCCTGTTTTTATGTGGCCTAAATCTCTGGACATGCTTAAGAGATGACTCATTCAGACTCCTTTGCTCTTACCCCATCTGGTACCCTCACACCCATACCTTGCAAGTGGCCATGGGCATCCATGGCCAGCCACACAACTAGCTCGGGCCTGAGGAGAAACCAATGATGGGGCAGTTCTGAGAACTGTGGCAGGCGGCAGGCGGCAGGCAGTAGGCGGTAGGTCGCACTTGTCCCTGCCTCCTCAAGTCCTGCAGGGAAGACACAAACTCTGCACCCCTCTCGTATCTGGGCTGCAGTAAGTTCTTTACAGTGAATCCCTAGCAGGGTCCAGGACAGAGGGTGGGTGAGGCCTCTCTGCTACTTCCGACTGAGAGGCCTAGTCACGGGCAGCTGCTGGGGCTGCCCAACCTGGCCTGAGGGCTGCCTGTGGTGGCTGGTCCTTCTCAAGGTCACCTCTGAACAACCGACACCCCTCTGGCCCCACCCCCACTGGAGACCAGAGCTGCAGAGACGCAAGAGGCTGTGAAGGGGAGGATCCCCTTTATGGCCACTTAGGAATTCCACCTGGAAGCAGCCCCGACCTGGCCCTTCCACAGGGTGGAAGTCCTGGCTGTGCCACTCACTGTGATTCGGGGCAGGTCTCCTCCCTGGGCCATCAGCTTCCTCACCTACAGAGGGTCCCGCCCACCACTTTGTGCCCAAACAATCTCAAAGACTTGGGGAGAGATTCTCTATTAAATAGAATGGATTCTCCATTCTATGGGTAAGAAGTTTTAACCTTAGAGAATAATTTCATGAACCCCCTTGGGCCACCATCCAGCTTCAACCCAACCTCAAACGTGACTCTGCTCACACCCTTCCCCTGAACTCTGCCTGACTTTATCATTTCTCTAATAAATACTTGAGAATGAACCTCACACTTAAAAAAAACATAACCACAATCCTATTACCACACCTTAAAAAGTTAACCATCATTCCTTATTATCACCAAACATCTCATCAGAGTTCAAATTTCCCCCAATTGCTCATGTTTTTTGCAGTTAGCTAGTTTGGATTTGAATCAAATAAGGTCAACACATTCTATTTGGTTGATAGGTGTCTAAATTTCTTGAAATCTAGAGCTTTCCCATCTTTTCCTGTAATTCTTTTTTTGGTTGAAGAAACTGGGTTATGTGTTCTGTAGTCTGCATGGTGGCCTGTCGTCATGTCCCCATGTGTCATTTCACGTGTCCCTCTGGCCTGTTCCGAGCAGCTAGTCCAGGAGCTCCAGCCTTTTTTGCCTCACGGAGAACGTGGACTGATCACCAAGGCTCTGCAGCGCACCAACAATGCACTGTTTGCTGATCTGACAGAAGTAGGCATGATTCTGACTTATTCACGCTGGACAACTGGTGGTGCTGTATTTTTTATCCGACAATCGAAGGGAAAAGAGGCCAGTGCCCCTGACTAAACAGTCAGGTGTTGCATATTTTCAAAATTCTCACAGCGCGCTGGTTAAAAATCACTGAACTGGTTGTTGGACCCAGGGGATGAGGTTTAGGTTGATTTTTGGCAAAAAATGCCTCATTGAGGTTCACATCTCGAGGGTCTGTCCTCTGTGAGCTGAAGGTTCAACAGCAGGTTGCTGTGTTGCCAATCTGCAATGTCGATTACAAAGTCCTCCATCATATAAGAGCTAAAATGATTAAAACCCTCAGACAAAAGTCTTTAGACAAAAACATAGGCTGGCGTGGGCGATGGGCAGAGCCCAGACCCTGCAGGGTCCGTCTGGGCTTATGTGGAGATGGAGAAGAGGGAGCAGATTCGTGTTGCAAAGGTCACTGGATGTTGAAGGGAAGGCTGGAGAGGGAGTCTCAGGGCCGAGCACCGCAGGAGTCCATTTATATGATTTCTGGATTGGGGTGGAGCTATTAGGACAGGAAGTGGGTGGGGGTGGGGAGTGTGGGGAGGTAACTGAGCCTTCCTGTGACTTGGCGGCGGTGGACAGGTGCCTGTGTTTTTGTCAGGACCCATTAGCCCAGGACTTGCAGAGGATGGGGATGCTGCCTGACTCATCTCCAGGGCCCTATTAGAGTTACTGCCATAGATTTAGGCCCTATGAGGAAATCTCACCTGGATGGCAGTCCTTGTCCATTCATTCATTTCACATGCAATTACTGGACACTCTATAGGGCAGGCTCCATGCTGGGCACAGGACCCAGACCACCCCTGCCCTCAGAAACACCCAGGCTGGCCAGTATGTGGCATCTCTCCATCTCACACATTCACCAATGCCTGGTGCACACCTCTCCTGCTCCCCTTCTCTGCCCCAGCTAGCCAGGGCTTGCCAGACAGAACTCATAGGTGTATCCAAAAATAATTTTTATTGTCACTAGTATAAAACAGAGATCAACTGGCCTCTCAGTCTGTACAGTGTGGGGCATAAGACCACCTGGGCTGCCCCCGTTACTCCCATGATGCCCTGCCCCAGGGCAGGGCCCGGGAAGGAGCTCCACAAAGGGGAGAGGACCGCCCCCAAGTGCTTCCCTTAAGGAGCCGGGCTGAGGGCAAACTGGGTAGGGAACACTTTCTGTGTCAGTGAAACGAAGGAGCAGAGGAGAAAACTGGAGTGGGGGGCCCTCCAGGAACTCATGACCCTGTCCCCGCCCTCTGCGCCCTCCGAGTCCCCCTGACCAGCACAGGGTTGAGACACGGGCCTGCATCTGCAGTGGTCAGAGGGCCACGCTGGTACAGCTGTGGCGCAGGAGGCAGGGCAGGATGCCTCGGTTCAGCTGGTGGAACTCCACGAGCTGCAGCAGGTCGGTAAAGCGGGTCTGGCCCTCGTCCATGCTGAAGTAGAGGCGGCCCGCCTCCTCGCTCTGCGGTATGGCCACAGGGAGTGGGCGGTCAGGGAGGGGTATGAGCTTGAGGGGCTCCCTCCTGGGCCAGACAGAAGTCCCCAGTGCTCACACTCATTCAGAGAGAAAGGAGAGAGCGGGAGACCCGGACCAGTGCAGACCAGGAGAGGAGGGCGGGTTGACAGGCTGCTCAGTGTCCTGCATCCCCACGCAGGAAACCTAGGACTCTCAGGGAGGGAGGGGAGTACTCACAGGCAGGATGAGATAATGCTTGACTTTCTGCAGATGGCACAGAGAGAGGACAAAGCCCTGTGGGTTCCGCTGACTCTCCCGGACCAGGAACAGTCTGCCAAGAGACAAGACCGCGTCAGCTGAGGACACACAGCCGCTGCATCCACTCAGGGTCTCTCTTACCCCTGGGCCTGCCACGCCGCCCAGACGCCCAGACCTGCCCCTTACCCGTCCACCAGGCCTTGCTGGGTGATGAGCCGCTGACTCTCCTCTCGGGAAATGCGCCCATGGAACCAGGGTTGGGTTCGGTGGATGGCTGCGGAGAGGGGGTGACAGATGGGCAGTCACTTCAAGGAGAGGACCCCCCCACTAACACCCTCACCATGAATGCTCATAGAAGCCCCTGCCCCCAGGGATGCTGGGCCCTCACACACCTGCACTGAGGCTCGTGCCCGAGGATGGGGTAGGCAGGCTGAAACGATGGTTCGTCTTCTTCTGCAGAGCAGATGGGGACACAGAGGCCAGGGTGTCAGGGTGTGGCTGGGAAGGACTGTGAAGCCCCTTTCTGCACCTGGGGCCCTCCCCTCACCCATCTTTCTCCCGCTCTATGGAAACCCATTTGGAGAGACATCCCCAGAGCGAACACGCAGAAGGGTGCAGGCGCTCACCCTCCAGGCATGCGCCTCCTCCAGGGCCGCATTCAGAGCCTCCCGGGGGTTCTCAATGACACGCCCAGCGTGGCCAGAGAAGTCCATGGCCACCAGGGTGTTATCGGAGACACTCCTCTGCACATGGGACAGGACAGGGAGGAAAGAGGTGAGAATAGGGCCCGAGTGTTCCTGGAACACTCGGCTGTCTGGGTACCCACTCCAGCTGACGCCCCTGTGGACACTCACCAGGGGTGGAGGCCCCACACAGGACGGGCGCAGGTGGCGAGACTGTGCCTGCTGATAATTCTTATACAGCTGCACCCCATACTGGGGTGTGGAGAGAGAAAGAGGGCCTGAGGTCAGGCAGGTGCCGGGGTCGGGGCTGTGACGCCCCAGACCAGGCCTCCCCAGCAGCAGGCCTGCGTCTCTGCCCCAGGATAAAGAACTTCCCGAAGCACAGCTGTGACTTCAGCCTTGGTCCAGGGACTCAAGGAGAGTGAGGCCGTGCTGTTCCCTCATTCTGGAGACCCCCTGAGGGCAGAGCTATCAGGCCTCCCTCCTGCTGAGGACCCCCAGGGCCAGGCCATCCCCCGACACCACACCTAGGGCCTTACCTTAAAGAGGCGGAAGGCAGATAACCAGCAGGTGCGGCTCTGCTCATCCTCACTGCAGAAGACGCGAAGCCCCTTGTGGCCATTTCGAAGTTTATTCGGCTGCAGGGAGAGGAAATGGCTGGGGTTCCATATCTGCCTTTAGGACCAGATGTGTCTCCCATCTCCGTGGGGAAGGGGGCAGGGGAGCGGGGACAGGGAGAGGAGTCTGGGTGTCCAGATGGAGGTCAGAAGCCCCAGGTAGGATCCTGGGGACGGAGCAGCCCCCATTCCCTCCTAGCCAGGCCAGGGTCTTCACCTTGATACAGAAGCCGAAGTCTGTGGGCATCCCATACAGCTTGCGGCCCTGAGTCACGACATACACGTTGGACTCATTCACATCTGCCACATACTGCAGGTGCCTCGGATCCTGCTCAGCAGAGGCGAGAAGGATTTGGTATAGGCAGACTCTATCCCCCAACTGCTGCCCCCTTAAGCCACCTGAGGAGGTATCAGGCCTAGAGAGGGGCATAGAGGTGCCCCAGGTCACAGAGCAAATAGGAGTAGAAGCAGGACTTGAGCTCACTTCGCCTGCCTTTCCCACTACTACCTCCCGGGCAGGGAAGCTGGGCGGGAAATCGGAGCAGCTGAGCGTCTCGGGGCCCAAGGTGAGAAAGGCCCAGGAGTTCCAATAGGGCAGGAACAACACCTAGCAGGACCAGAGGGGTCTCGGAGTGGCCACCACCCTCCAGACCTCACCTTGGAGGTGCCCTTGGTGGAATAGTAGAGGCCAGACCGGCGCAGGAAGCAGAAGAAACGTTTCCAAAGCTTTCGTCCCGAGCCCCGCAGCTGCAGGAAGCCCTGGATCTCTGGGAAGCTGCCTGCGTTCAGGAAGTTCTGAAGCCAGAGAAGATCAAGAAGAGGGTGAGAGGCCTCAAGGAGGCCGCACACACACATGCACACACACATGCACACGCGAACCTTCCCAGGGCTCGCCTTTAGGAAAGGAGGTGCTCCACATGCGTTTGTCCTGTTCCCCATGGAACAGGACGAAGAAGCTGGCACTCAGGCAGGGAAAGTAACATGTCCACAGTCACTCAGGACTGTGCTGGGTCTTCTCCACCGCACAGGAGGGGTGCACAAGGCTTAAGGGCCGAGAAGCCATGGGGGTCCTGGGGAACCGTGACTATGCAGGTGGTCCCTCACCTGGATGAGGTCGTCATGGGAGATGTCCGTCTGCGCGTCCCGACAGCTGGAGACCATCTTTTCTGGGAACAGGGAGTGCTGCGGCAGGAAGGGGTCTGGAGTCAGCAGGGACTGAGGGTCCAGGGTGGGGATCGGGCGTCCCATTGCCCAGAACCCCCAACCCCCACCAAACACACACACACACACAGACTCACAGGGGAGCTCTTGAACAGCTCATACTTGGCGAAGTTTTTCCGAAAGACAAAGCGGCTGTCTCCGCCTATAGGCCAGGCAGCCTGCACTTCCACCACTGATTCATGGTCCTCCAAGCCCCGCTCTGGGGTCAAGAGCCAAAAAGCAGGGGTCAGCAGAGATCAGCCAGGCCTCATGGGTGAACCACCAGCCCAGCACAAGGCAGGAAGCATTGCCTCCTGGTCAGGGCAGCACCCTGTACCCAAAACTCACCCAGCGCCAGATGGGGGTGGCACTCCACCAGCCCCCAGTTCTCGTCACTGAGGGCGTGAGCTCGCTGCACCAGCATTTCACACACGTAGCGTGCCGTGGCACCTGCCGCCACCTCCACTGACCGGCAGGCTCCATCCTCGCTATACACTTTTACTACCTGCACCCCAGGAATTGCAGACAACTTGAGGAAAAGCAAAGAGCGGTTCTTCCCCTTCCCCCACTTGCTATGCCCCTAGGGACCCCTGGCCAAATTCCCGTCTCCACACAGTGCCGTATCCGCCCCAGTCCTATAGCGCACTCCTCCCATACCCTGCATTCTCTTTCCCAGGGCAACTCACGTGGGGACAGCTGGCATTGCGAGGGAGCAGCCCCCTTGCACTGGAGGGTCCCCCAAGAATGGGGTTCTGTGAAGGAGGACTGCAGAGCTCGGGGAAAGGGTTGGGGATGGAGGGTAGAGAGGCTGTCCGCAGCTCCTCCTCCCGAAGTTTCCTGTGTGGAATGAGGAGCTGACTTTGAGCTTCTGCGTATTTCCCGGCGCCGACCGCACCACCCAAGCCCTCCTGAGCCCCACTGTACCTGCTGGCCGGGATGGGTAGAGGCTGAGACCTCTTCGCCTCCCCAGGAAGAGGGGCATCAGGAGGCGGGGGAGTCCCAGGAGGAGACCCAGGAGGGGTCCCAGGAGTCCCAGGGGCTGGGTATGGGTCTTCGGGGGGGCTGCTGTGACGAGGTGGAGACAGACCCAGCTCCATGGCATCTGAGGGAAAAGGGGGGGCTGGGTGCTGCCGCTCTGGTGCCCTTGTGCTGGGGAGAGGGGCCAAGCGGCCCGACCTCCTGGCTTCACACAGCCGTCAGGTGCCCCTCAGAAGGTGCCCAGCACTTCATCACTTGTCCTCTCACTGGAGTTTACCCAGAGCCTTCGTAGGGGGTGGGGTGGAGTAAGCCCATTTTACCAAAAGGTACACCAAGTCCCCGAGAAGGAAACATGGTTGCTCTCATGGCAGGTGAGCTGGGGAGTGGGACCATGTTGGGACCCTAGTCCAGTTGCTCTTGCTTTAGCCCCAGGAGGCTGCCCCGGGGGACAGCTAAGAGGGTCACCCCACCACAAGGTGGGGAGCAGCAACAGACTCCACGACCCACAGGTCGTCTGGGGCTCAAGCTCTCAGTGTTGGGGCAAAGGAACATGCGCCCGTCTCCGAGAGAGCGAGCAGGCGCAGGGCACTCCTCTGGGCTGTGCACCGGGTTTTTCCAGAGTTTTGTTGCCAGACCTGATGCTAGAACCTGTTGTGGCAACGCATGCCCAAGTGCTGAGTGATGCAGGGGGGAGAAGGAGTGGGGAAGGACGGGAACCAGGAGGGCAGGACGCGGGCTCAGCCGTGAGAGGAGAGGGCTGGCCAGGGTCCTTGCCCCAGCAGCTCCCACAACTACATGCCCTCCCTCGGCCCTTCCTCCTGCCCAGCTCTCTTGAAGCACCAATGCTGGAGCCACCTCCTCTGACCAGCCTTCCTGAAATCTCCACGCTCAGTCCCAAGGGCTCCCAGGGCGCTGTGCTGAGGTCTCCGTGCCAATTACTGCACATCTGCCTCACCCACCCACAGGTCTGAACCCACGCAGCTCTCCTAGGCAGGGCTGGGGTCTTCCCCACATCTCGGCACCCACAGGTGCTGCATGGGAACCCAGGACAAGAACAGGAAAAATGGGGCAAAGATGCCCATGCGGGTAGAAGTGTGTGCAGGCGCCTCCTGCACAGGAACAAGACCCTTTGGCTGGGTTGAGACCTGGGAGGACCTGGGAGGGCCAGTTCCAGGCCCTGTCCACTCTCTGGATACTGGACCAGTGTTGTCAGGCTGCCTTGGGCACCTGGGATTGACTCCCAGAATGGGCCAGGCCCCAGACCCTTAAGTGAGAGAATTAGGTGATTTGGGGGACAGATGAGTCAGGGCGGGGCGGGACAGCACTGCCTGGGGCTCTCCATTCAAACTTGACTCATCTGCACAACTTCCTGACTTAGGAGAAACACAAACAACCCTGCCTCTACCCACCCCCCTTCACTCCTACCCCCAACCTACCAGCCTGGGAGGAATGGGGAGGCACAGGACAGGAACAAGATGTGGGGGAAGGAGGATGCAGGGCCTGAGGCTGACATCATCTCCTCCTTCCCCACCCTTGGCCTACCTCCACCTCTCCAGGCCAGGTGGGACCTGCAATTCAGCCCCTGTCCAGTAGCCACCACCTGGCCCAGGAGCCCCCTCAGCCAGGAAAGAGAGAAGAAAAGCCCAGCATGGACTCAGAGGCCCATCTGGAATGGAGCCAACCTCCTAGTGTTGGCCCTTGCTTACCAATGACACCTCTGAGGTGCACCCCAGGAGCAGGAGTGGAAAGTCAAGACACCTAAAAGGCCAGACAGCCAGACAAGGAAAGGCCCAGGAGCCAATCGGGGAGGGGGCTGGGGGCCTTGCTGGGAAGAGGAAGACACACCCACCTTTGACCACAGACAGACACCAGTATCCCGACACCAAAACACAGTGCCCCCCTCCCAAACCCTGGTAGCTTCATTCCAGGGAAGACTAGGGAGGGGGCTGCAGGGGCTCCCCCACCTCCAGGAAGGCAGAGACCAGAAGTGGGGTGGTCTGGGTCCTCTCCCCCATCACAGGAAGAAGGGGAATTAGGGCCCTGAGTGGAAGGGGAGAGGGAAATTTTAAGTCAGATTAGAGTTTGGCTTCAGAGGGCCAGGAGGGCCACTCTTCAGATCCCTCCACCCGCGCTCCAGGCCCCTGTAAGGCCAGATTGGCACAGTCAGGGCCAGAGATAAGATGGGAGAGCTGGGGTCCTGGCTGTGGAGCCTGGGCCTCCTCCTTGCCAGGATATCTGAAGTTTTCAAACGGGGGCCCTAGGAAATTCTCTTCTGTGTAAGAAGCCGGACCCCCAAATCAGTCTGACCCCTCAATGTTGCAAGTCCAAGCGGGCAGCTTCCCCCAACGCCTCTCCGGCCCCGCCCTCCTTCCCGCCCTCGGTGCCTCCTTGTTGACTTCCTGAATCTTGCCCCACCTGGCTGGCCCCCAGGAGGGGTGGCTGGGCACGATGTGTAGGGCCAATAGAAAACAAGGCCACCTTGGATGCGTCCCAGGGTGGGGGGAGGGGCTGGCCGAGCAGAGGCCCGGGCTGGGGGTCTGGACGTGACTGGCAGGTCCAGGGCTTGCTCTGTATTCCACTCTTCACCGCGGTCTGGGTTGATTTTAGGGGACACGGCTGAACCTTTGGGAGTTCTGTAGGGGTGCAGGGCCCAGGTGAAGAGGAGGGAAACCCTTTGTGACCCTGTGACCCCGTTGTGGGAAGGGACCTGGACCCTGAGGCCCCGCCTACTCCCTCGCTTAGGAAGAGACGCCCAATGGGAGGGGGCAGCTCCTTTAAAGTTTAATTTGGGAAGAATGCTCCAGTGTCTGTGGAGTTAATCATTACAGGCTGCGAGCTTTGACGAAGGGCCCCCCAGCAGGGAGTCCAGGGGAGAGCGGAGTCCAGGATGGGCAGACCAAGAGGGGGCAATCCTGAGTGGCTGTGAGTTTGGGGCGCCTTCCACCCGCGGACAGGTGCACTCTCCACCCCAGTGAGCCTGGGAGACCCAGCCCCGGACCGGGGGCTTTCTCCAGCCAATCCACACATTCGAGACCATCTCCCACCCCCTTTCCCTCCCCTGACCCCCAGCACTGCAGACCCCCGCAGCATCCAACCTTCGGAGCCCACCTCCCACTGAAGCCAGGAGAGAACCCCCCCCCCGACCGCTCCGCCCCCCTTTCCCATCCGAGGGCAGGACCCAGTGAGCAGAGATACAATCCGCAGAAATGGAGCTCCACCAATATAGAGAATCCCTCTCTTTTACCGCCCTCCAAACAAGTTGGAGGGTGCCCCCTCCCCCGCCAGAGACGTCCGTCTTCGGTACAGACTTGGGGGACCTCAGACTGGAGCAAAATCGGGCTGAGTGAGGGAGCTCCCTCGGTTACTCGGACCCCGTTCCGAGGACGGGGAGGAGCTAGTTTCAGCGGGAAAGCCGCGTCTCCGGAAAGAACCTGAGATCTGACTGCCCGGTCCCCATCAGCCAGCTTGCCGGGGGGCAGAGGGAGTGGGCGCAGAGAGGGAAGGAAGGAATGGAGAGGGCAGGGAATGAGAAGAGGGAAAATCGGAGGGCAGATGGTGAGGAGTGGGCAGGATGAGAAACTAGAGGAAAAGAGAAAATGAGGCCGCGGAGTAACACAGCAGGAGGCCGAACCTTCCCACGTCGGTCTCGCACCTGCCAGCACTCCCCACCTCCCGGATAAAATGCACGCTTTGGTCCTTACCTGGACCCTGGGCGTTTGGTACACCTGGCTGGGGCCGCGGGTTTGGGAGGGAGACGCCAGGCCCTTAACTACCTGTCCCCCTCCTGCCCCCGCCCTTGGCCTGACATCACTGAGAGGGGAAGGGGAGGAGGGAGCCAGTCGGCCGCCCAGCCGCTCACCTGGGCAGCCAGCCAGCCCCTGGCCCTGCGGCGGGCACCGCCTGGGGCCCTAGTGCGGCGGGGGGGGGGGGGGGGGCGGGGGGTGAGAGTAGGTTGTCGTCTGGGACCGATCTCGGTCCCCTTACCTGGAGAAGCCTGAATGGGAGTAGCAGGACACAGGGTCAGAAGTCCAGCTCAGTCTAGAGACCCCAGACACCTGGGCTTGACTTCAAACCCACCCCCTCTTCTCTACAGGTGGTGGGAGGCTGTTCCGACTTCCGACGTGGAATTGGGTGGAGGGTGAGCCTTGTGTGTGTACAGGCTCCTGGCCCAAGGAAACTAAAATTATCCCGTGCAGGTGGGGGCGGGGCCTGGGGGAGGAGCACAGACGGAGGCAGCACCAGAGGGGCGGGGACTCCCCGAAACTCTACACCGGCTGGGATTGTTTTTGCCCTTCTTCGCCCGGCAGCAGGTGCCAGGGAAGGGGCGGAGGCAGTGGAACTAAACAGCCTCGAGAGCGGAGACTTAGAGTCCTCGTGGCCTGGGAGGGAGAGGCGAGGCGAGGGGCGGGAAGGTAAGGGGAAAGGGCCCCGCCTGCTCTCCCCCGTTGCCCCCTCCGCAAACCCGGTCTGTTCATTGGCCAAGCTAGAGGGTTCTGGGTCCCACCCCCTGGGCAAAGGGCACTCTGCGAAAGAGAGAAGCTAACCAGGGGGAAGACCAACAACATAGCCTGCCCCTTGACCTCCAGCCAATCTGGCCACCCAGGTGGCATCCTAGCCCCGCAAAGGACCCAGGGAATGTCCTCCCTTTTTGAGCAAAGTCCAGGGGCCCAGCTTCTTCTGAAATTGAAGGGGTAACTCAGGGTCTCCGGATGGAAGGAGTCATGCAGGCAGAGCCCTGGCCAGGCGCCAGGGGGCTCCCGAGAGCAGCTCTGTCCTTCAGCATTAGGCAAACACTAGGGCTGGGGGAGGGCCTGGAAAGCTGAGATCAAAGGCAGAGGCCACCTCGCAGCCTGAAGTGAGTACTGGTTGGTAAATAAACAATCCATAGGTTGATAAGAGGTCTGCCTTGGGAGACCATGAGAAGTGCCTTCAGCCTCAGTTCTCTCCAAACTGGGTTTTCCTAGGAAAAACCAGTATGAGTGGCCTAAGCAAAGAAGTGGGAGAGGGGGCGGCCACCTGGGCCATGGAGCAGCTTATGCAAAGTACAGTAGACAGCTCACTCAGTCATTCCTTCATTCGTTCAGCTAATATTTGTCAAGTCTCTACCATACGCCAATCCCATGCTGGGTCCTAGGAATCCAGTGGTGAACAACAAAAACAAACCCCTCCCTTGTCCTCATGCAACCCAGTCAGGGAGGTTGTTATTAATCAACGAATCATACAAACAATATGGAGTGACAGGTGACAGCTCTGCTGGGAGAATGACTCACCTAGGGGTGTAGGGAAGACTTCTCCCTGCAAGTTACAATTGAGCAGAGGGGAAGCTGTCTGGGGCAAGGAAATGGGTGTGGAAGTGCTTCGGGCTCAGCTGTGTTTCTCCCATTTGGCTTGTGACCACCTGCCTCCAAATCTCCTGCGGCTTGTATTAAAAAACAGATCCCTGTGCTCCTTCCCACCCGCCGAATCTGCCTCTGGGGGCAAGTCCCAGGAATGTACGGTACTGACCGGCCCTCAGGTGGTTGTTCCGCAAACAGTGCTGAAGAGCCATCCATCCTGTCTGTCCAGACCAGCAGGAACTATGGGCAGAGGCCAGACCCTGCAGGGCCTATCTGGGCTTAAGCAGAGGCACAGAGGAGCAGGCAGATTCATATTTTTGGAAAGTCACGCCAGTTTGAAGGATAGGTTGGGAACGGAGTCCAGGCTCAGAGGGCTGAGCGCTGTAGGATTCCATTTATATGGATTTCTGGAGAGGGTGGAACTGTAAGGACAGAAAGCAGAGCTGGGGGCAGGGAGGGGGGTGAGGGGCTGCCAGTAGGGGCTTGTGGGAGGTAAGGGACTGTCGTGTCTTGGCCCCGATGGTGGATGTACAGCCATGTGTGCCAGGACTCACCGAAAGGTACACACAGGAGGACAAATTTTACTGGGCACAAGTTATATCTGAACTGTTTAAATAAAAAAGAAACAACAACAAATGGATTTGTAGATCAGTGAAACAGAATCAAGAGTCCCAATATAAACCCTTACATTTCTGGTCAATTGATTTTTGACAAAGTGCCAAGACCATTCATTGTGGGAAAGGACGGTCTTCAATAAGCGGTTCTGGGGCAACCGAATACCCGCATGCAAGAAGATGAATTTAGAGTCTTACCTCACACAATGTACAAAAAGTAATTCAAAACAGATCATCGACCCAAATGTAAGAACTAAAATGGGAAAGCTTCTTGAAGAAACCATGGGAGAAAAAATCTTTATGACTTTGTGTCTCAGCTACAACAGCAAAAGCACAAGTGACAAGTGAAACAATTGGTAAATTAGACTTCAGCAAAGTGAAAATGTTTCACCCTTCCAAAGACACCACCGAGACTTTTTTTCTTAATTGCCAAACACTGGAGTAAATATTTGCAAATCATATATCTGATTTGGGACTTTGTATCCAGAATATATAAAGAACTCTAACAAATCAATGAGACAAACAACCCAATTAAAAATGGGCAAAATAGTTTTTCCCAACTAGATGTTTTTCACAAGAAAAGGTGCTCAACATCACTGTTTATCAGATAACTGTGAATTAAAAACACAGTGAGCTCTGGCTGGTATGGCTCAGTGGACTGAGTGTCCACCTGCGAACCAAAGGGTTGCTGGTTTGATTCCCAATCAGGGCACATGCCTGGGTTGCAGGCCAGGTCCCCAGTTAGGGGTGTAGAGAAGCAACCCCACACTGATGTTTCTGTCTGTCTCTCTCTCTCCTTTCCTTCCCCTCTCTCTAAAAATAAATAAGTAAAATCTAAAACAAACCACAATGATATACCACCTCACATCCATCCACCAGGATGGCTACAATCAAAGGGACAGACAAGTGACAAAAGATGTGGGGAAACAAACCCTTATATATTGCTGGTGTAACGTAAAATGGTACAGCCACTTTGAAAAACAGTTTGGCAGTTTCTGAAACAGTTAAACTTACCATACAGCCCAGCAATTCCAGTCTCAGGAATCTACTCAAGAGAAATGAAAACGCACATACATACAAAGACAGTTACATGAACCTCCATAGCAGCGTTATCCAAAATAGCCAAAATATGGCCCTGGACAGGTAGTTCAGTTGGTTGAACATCAATGTGCACCAAAAGATTCCGGGTGGATCCACAGTCAGGGCACACACCTAGGCTGCCATCGAATCCCTTGTCTGGGCTGCATATGGGAGGCAACCGACCAATCGGCGTTTCTCACTTGGATGTTTCTCTCTCTCTCTTTCACACCCCTTCTCTCTCTCTAAAATGAAGGAGCATGTCCTCAGGTGAGGAGAAGAAGAAGAAGAAGAAGCATAAGAAGAAGCTGCCGCCACCAAAAACTGGAAACTTAAGTGTCCATCAATTGGTATTGAATAGATTAAAAAAAAGGTGGCATATCCATACAATGAAATGCTAAACTACAAAAAGGAAAAAACTACTGGTACATGCCACAGCACGGATGAACCTCAAAACTTTATACTGAATAAAAGAAGCCAGAAGTAAAAGATTGCATATTATATCACTTTATTTACATGCAATGTCCAGAAAAGGCAAATTTATAGACAGAAAGCAGGTCAGTGGTTGCCTAGGACTGGAGCTGAGAGCAGGATTGACTGTCAACAGGGAAGAAAGACACTGTGAGGTTGATGGAAATGTTCTGTAACCGGATTGTAGTGACGGTTGCGCGGATCTAGAAATCGTTTAAAAATGAATGGTTTAAAGAGACGCCAGTGTGGGTGGTGGGGGGCTCAGGAAGGGAAGAAGCAGTGAGACGACCTCCATTTCTAGAGTTGCAAAATGAGAATGATGATGCCAGCCTGTGAGGCTGGGGTGACAGGGAGGTGCAGGAAGTGGGTGCATTGATGGGAGCACAGAGCCTAAGGACTGGGAGCCCCAAAGCCTATGGTTCCCAAATGCAGGAGGAGAGGCAGCTGTATCAACAGTTTAGAGTTTAAGAGTCAAAAATACTTGCCTTGCCCTGGTGGTTCAGTTGGTTGGAGCATTGACCCACACACCAAAATTTGCAGGTTCCATCCTCAGTCAGGGCACGTACCCCAGACAGGAGGCAACTGATGGATGTTTCTCTCTTATATCGATGTATCTCTCTCTCTCCCTTCATCTCTAAAATTAATAAACATATTCTCAGATGAGGAGTAAAAAAAAAGGAGAGTCACAAATACCTGAGTGTGTGACTACAGGGTGGTTAAAATGTCATCCACACGTCAGTGAGAAATAGAAACTATTCCATACCATCAGCCTACTCCAGGCCTTGCGACTCCTTGCTCCACCACATTCTCTTGCTGGAAAGCGCTTTGCAGTTTCAGATATTTCATTAGATTAAATAAGGCCGAAAAAGTCCAGGGGATACCAGGTACAGGACAAGCCCGAGAGCCCGGAATGTGGTCTAGACTGGTCCACCCAGCTGGGAGCCCTCAGGCTAAGGGTCGAGTCAAAACACAGAAGCGGCCTGCAGGGGGCGCCCGGACGGAACGCACGGCTCCGCCCCTTCACTAGTCCGCTGCGTCGCGTCACACCCGGAAGCAGCGGCTGGAGCGGAGCCGGCCACAATGAGCGGGGATGTAGGATCGCCGTCCGCGGACCCCCATCCCGAGGAGGTGCAACCTGGCAGTGGGGTCCACCTCGTAGTGGAGTTCTGGTGAGCGGCTCCAGCCGTGGGGTTCCGGTCCGGATGGGGGTGGGTCCACGGGAGGTCCCTCCCCCCGGAACCCAAGCGGACCCCAGTTATCTTCGCCCTAGTGAACCCTGCGGCTTTGAGGCGGCCTACCTGGAGCTGGAGAGTGCCGTGAAGGAGCAGTATCCCGGAATCGAGGTCGAGTCGCGCACGGGAGGCCCAGGTGAGGCCCGGAGAACACCTGCTGAGTCAGTGTTCTGTATCTCAGCTCCACGCTTTATGTCTCTGGCATTGTCTGTTTTAGTGTCCTGCAGTATCCGTCCGGCACAGAGTAAAATGTCCAGACAACTTGACTCCCCTCCCAAAGGTGGGCGCGGGGATCACAGGTGAATCCTTCAGGGGAAAACCGGAGAGACTGTGGAAGTATAGATCTGGAAGGGAGGGAGCCTTTCACTGAATTCAAAGAAAGGACACATTTGGCGCCTCCCGTAGGTGCCTTTGGCTTGACCCAGAGTTGGGAAGTGGCTTAAAGAACTGCAAGTCTCTACTGAGGCCGGTGGAGGACAGGAAGGAGTCTGTGCGAAGTCTGAGTATGGAGGGCTTCCCGGTTGGTTTGCCTTTTCTCAGTTTACAGTTCATTCGTTGGTTTATTTAATCCCAGGGGCCTTTGAGATCCAGATCAATGGACAGCTGGTGTTCTCCAAGCTGGAGAATGGGGGCTTCCCTTATGAGAAAGACGTGAGTATCTGCAATGTCGGGAGTACCGCTGGTTCACCATGGCTCTAAAGTAGCACATCATCCCATTCCCTATCTCTGCCCTGTAGCTCATTGAGGCCATCCGAAGAGCCATTAACGGAGAACCCCTAGAAAAGATCACCAACAGCCGCCCTCCCTGCGTCATCCTGTGACCACATGGGATTTTGAGTTCCTGCTCTGTTCTGGGATCCAAGCCTTGGTCTCCCATTTGGTCCTGCTGAGGGTTCCCCACTGCCTCTTACCCCTCACTTAGCCCTGGTGGTTAAGGGACCCTGGTCTCCACTTTGCCCCTTTGGGTGCCAGGAGAGAATGGACGTTTCTGTTGATCTGGAGGGTAGAAGAGGCCCTCCACTGACATAACCACAGCCACCTTGTACCCCTTCCCGGGATTATCGTCCACAGAAGCCCGCTCCCCTCTCCAGCTCAGCCGTGCCTGTCAGAGGCCACTGGAGTTCTAATTTATTTTCTACTAGCCCCGGGTGATGTCAGCTATTGGCAATAAAGTGGCACTACAAACACCTGTGCCAACTCGTGTGCATTACGTCCAGTCTGGGAGTGTGGGGGAGCCTCGGGGAGCTCAGGAGCCAGCCCAGCCTTCATACCACCGGGGTGGCTGGGCTGTTCCTGGTTAGCTACTTGTAGTTACATGGTCTCCTCTCATAGGCAAGGAAAAGAGTCAACATTGCCTTTTCTGTCTTCCACCCTTTATCCATAGGGAAGAATTTACCCCATTATTGTGGGTGGGTAGCCTTAGGAATTTGTTTTTTCTAGCAAGTATGATTTGGTTGGCAGACATCTCTCAGATCAGAATCCCAACTCCCAGACCCCACTCCCACCCTCAGTGACCCCAAAGCCAGGAAGTTAGAAGATAGGCTTCTCATTCAAGCTTCCTAAAGATTCCTACTTACTCCCTGAAGGAAAAGATGGTGTCCGTATGTTAGGAAGTACACTGTGAGGGGTGGCACAGGGCTGCCCCCAGACATAGGCCTGGTGCCTGGCTGTTTTATGAAATAAATTTGGAGATGGAGAAAGTGAGTGTGAAGCAGGACATCCCTCTTGTAACCCCAGGGACCAACACCCCCTTCCACAATACCCATTCTCCCCGAGTCCTTATTTCATCTTTTTTTTTAAACTTTTATTAGTATTTACTTTATGCTGAATTTACCCCTGGACCATAAGGTGTTGTTTCTTCTGTAATCTTTTTCTTCTGTGCAACTTCTTCTGGTTTAGGGACAGTCTGCTATTTTTCAGTACAAAAGAATGTGGCCGGGAGGGCTCCTGTGTGGGTTAGTCCGCTCACGAGCTCTGTAAGGTCTACGCTGCGTCTCTGGAGCTTTGTTTGCCGGGATGTGCTCAATTGACTAGAGAGCCTACATCTAAACCCTCAATGTTCAGCACCACCCTCTGTGTTTTTAAGCATATACAGCAAAACTCAGCACTCTTCTTTGGGTCACTAGGCCTGTGTCCGGCCCTTTTTGAGCTGAGCACGCCCACCAACTCTACTTTTGTATTGAAGGAGTGGGACACATTGCTTCTGTAAAGTGACATCTTTCAGATACGTGGAGACTTTTTGAATATGCATACTCTTGATGGCCTGGGAAGTTTCACGAGCGTTCTTAAAAGTGAACACAAAAATTTGAACCTCTTGATTTACATGATTTTGTGGGGTTTTCTGGGTCAAGTGCATAGCAAACCATTTTCAGAGGTCACCTCCGGTCACTTTAGGGAAGAGGAGCTTATTTCATCTTAAAAAAAAAAAACATAAGTAAAAACAAAACAAAAAAAGCACTCTGTACAAGGACTAGACCTGGACACCGCTGCTCCCTTCTTCCTGGGGGCAGAGCTAGGACTCAGTCGGTCTCTGAATGGATTGCTTTTGTCCTAGACGCTCCCTTTGGGTCTCTTCCCCTCCTAGGCCCAGCTTCCCTGAGTCCTTCCGTGCCAGGGATCTGGAAAGAGAGCCAGACTGGGCTGCTCCCTCAGCACAGGAGGCTGCGGCATCCACTGGACCCTAGAGTCTGCTGGGCAGGGCAGCAGTGAAGACTTCCCACTGCTCCCTCCTCTCCCTGCCAGGCTGGGTCCTTCTCAGCTACCTGGGAACTGGAATAGGAAGGAAGGCTCCTGGCATGGCGGGCTCCACCGGATGTGGTCCAAGGGCCCTCTCCCTGCGTTGTCCTGACACAGGCCCGAAGTCAGGCCCTCCGCACTCCCCGCGGTTCAGCAAGGCCTAAGCGGACTAGGCCTTTTGGCTCACACGGGCACGTTCAGGCCCAGGTACTCGGGGTTCTCTGCCGTAGGGGTCCCTTCAAAGGTGCTGGGTGGAGAGCCCCTCTCTGATGGGTCCTGGTCCCAGTAATAGAGGTTGTCAAAGGCTGGGCTGAAGGCTGGAGGAGGGTGGGGCTGTGGGGCAGCCCTGCTGCGTGGCGCCAAGTACTCGGGGTTCTCCACAGCACCCCCAAAGGTGAAAATGTCTTTGACAATCCCATTCTTCCCCGGGGAGAGAGTCTTAGGCCTTTCCAGAGTGGCACCTGCAGGTCGAGGAGGAGGCAGGGGTCCCTCTAGGGGTGAGGGGGGCTTCGGGCGAACCTCCGTCTGATTCACGTACTCTGAAAGAGCAAGAGAAGGGGGCTCGTTAGGGAAAGAAACTCATGTGTCCCAGCTACTACCTACCACGGCCCCCACAGTGGGCCCTCAGCTCAGGCCTAGAATCCATACCTGGTTGGGGGCTGCAGGTCAGGGGGGCAACATAGCCATCAGTGTCAGGGGGCAGGGGTACTGTGGGGTCCTCACTGTACCGCTGTAGAGGGCTGGAGTCAAGCACGGGGAGGCTCTGCATCCCCTTGGCTGTCCCCATTCCCAAGTCGCCGTCAAACACATCAGAGCCTGCCCCTTCTGAGGGTGCCAGTGGAGATCTGGGGGGCTCCTCCTCGGAGGGCTCAAGCCCCAGCGTCAGCTCGCCGCCGCCACTCTGGAGGTGACAGAGAAGGTCGTGATGGGGGTCACTCATGGATTTGAGATGGAGACTGAGGTGACAGGTCACAGGAGATAAACAGGTCACCTTTGGGGTACAGCACAGTCACTGTGGGGGGAGGGGGGGCGTGGGTTGGAAGGCAGTAGGAATCCTTCAGGAAAATAGCATCTCCATGAGATGTGGTGGTTGGGGTGGGGCATGGGACAAAGGGACCCTAGTCCACTGGGGTCCGGAGGGGCAACCACCCCCACCGCGGCATGACCACAGGCACCAACCCTGGTGGACGAGCTGCGGTGCCTGCGGTGGGCCGTGCTCCCAGCACCCAGGGCGGGGTCCGGGCAGAAGAATCCTTGCTGCGGCACCAGGTACTCCTCCGCGTCCACCAGGTCCCCCATGTCGTCATCCTCCAGCAGCGACCGGTAGAAGGTACTGTCCAAGGGGCTGGCAGGGCCCAAGTCCTCATTCTGGGGAGGAGGAGACAGAGTGTCGCAGCCCCGCCCCAGCCCAGTGCTCAGGAAGGCTCGGGGAGGCTCAGGACGAGATTCGATGAAAGAGGCAAGGTCTGGGCCTGGAGGCCTGGGACCCAGGAGTCAACCCCCTTCCCACCCTCTGCAGGCCAGTGCTTAGTCATAGGCAGAGATGTGGCCGGGAGATCAGTACCTGGATGACCACAAAGCGCTGGGGGTCCCTGGCCATGCGGGAGAATTCGGCCACCAGCTCCCGGAACCGAGGCCGACATTCAGAATCAATCATCCAACCTGGGGCAGGAGAAAGCTCAACGTCCCGGGGGTGGGGGGGGGCAGCCTGTGTGCTGCCCTGCCCCCTCCCCCTCCAACTAGCTCCAGTGACTAGAGTCCAAAGCCCTTAGGGGTTGAGACCAGCTACCAGGAACTTTTGAGAACCCCAGTGTTTGCCCTTTGTATTTCCCATATAAGTAAGTCTCTTTCTAGCCGGTTGTCTGGAGTTTCCCTGGACTGGTACCATGAAAGGGAAGCCAGACTCTTTTGAGGTTCCTTCGAAAGCTACCAGGACCGCCCCCCGCCAACAGCCGGCACAGCTCCACCACGCACATTTGACCATGATCATGTAGACATCGATGGTGCAGATGGGGGGCTGGGGCAGCCGTTCCCCCTTCTCCAGCAGGTCGGGGATCTCCCGGGCCGGGATCCCATCGTAAGGTTTGGCCCCAAAAGTCATCAGCTCCCACACAGTCACACCTGGGGCAGAGGTGGCAACAGAGGGAGTGTCAATGTAGGAGGCCCAGGGACTTGCCAGGATCCTGGTACCGAGGAGGGGAGGAGGGGAGGGATGCGTTGCTAACATGCAGGAGCTACCTCTAGCCTTTCCCAGGTCCCTGGGATGCGGACAGACCCCGGCAGACTGAGGCACTGCAGCCCCTCCCTTCGGCCCCACATTGTAGCCGAGGTGTCTCCATCAGTTCTCATCCTTTCACCAACATCCCCGCCGTGGACAGGACCCGCCACGGACAGGACCGTGGCTCCTTCCCTACCCTTCTCAACCCTCCCCACCACGCACCATAGCTCCACACATCACTCTGGTGGGTGAACCGTCGGCGGAGAATGGACTCCAATGCCATCCACTTGATGGGCACCTGGCGGGGCAGAGGAAATATATCTAAACTATGGGTGTGGGGGGTGGCCCTTCTCAGGGTTCTCCCAGGGCTCAGACCCCACTCCACCTTGCCGCACCCTGCTGCCCCCTCCAACCTTGCCCCCATCTGCATGGTACTCCGTCTCGTCAATGTCCAGCAGCCGGGCCAGCCCAAAGTCTGTGATCTTGACGTGGTTGGGACTCTTGACCAACACATTCCGGGCAGCCAGGTCCCTGTGCACAAGCCGCACCTCCTCCAAATAGCTCATTCCCTGGGGTTGGAGGCATCCCGGTGAAATGTGCTCTGGCCTCCCTTTCCTGGGAACCTCCCCATCCTAGCCCTGCAGGGGGACGGGACACCCACGGAGCGCAGGCCCCCAGGTACCTACCTTGGCAATCTGCACACACCAGTTCAGCAGGTCCTGGGAGCCCAGGCGCCCTCGGTGTTCCCGGACGTGGTCCAGGAGGCAGCCGTAGGGCATGAGCTGTGTCACCAGCTGCACCGTGGAGGTCAAGCAGATGCCCAGGAGGCGTGACACATACGGGGAGCCCACACCAGCCATCACATACGCTTCCTGGGGGCAAAGGCGCACACTGAGAGGGTGTGAACGACCACCACAAGCCCCACCTGCCAGACGCAGGAGGACCCTCCAGTGGATCTGACCCCACCCAGGGCAAACGGGCACCACGGGCTGGGGAGGTCAAGGGTCGAGGTGTAGGGATGGCAGGAAGTGTCTCCTCAAATCCCGGGGAAAAGGGAGCCCAGAGCCCAGACCTGCAACCAGGGGGTCCCTCCTGTATGCTCAGCCGGGCAGGGCGGAGGGGCTTACATCCAAGATTTCTTTGTTGGCTTTGGGAGATGTGTTTTCCCTCAACACTTTGATGGCCACTGGGATTTTCACGTTCTCCCCGTCGGGGATCCAGATGCCCTGGGCA